GCATTCGCTTACAGGCGTCAGTGTAGCGAACGCAGTCAAGCGTAACATGACAACTGGTATTATACAGGTTAGTGTTTACTGTACTCTGTAGTCCTCTCAAAATCATTCTCAGTGAAACGCTCGGCTGTGCTCATCTGGCTCTTAAACTCAATGTTTTCCGTTCTTAGAGTCTGTAGCTCAGATAAGGTTGCGTCATACAGAGGTCCAGTAACATCTGTCTGGGTGTGAACGCCACTCTCCTCTGTGATACACTTCTTATATTCTCCCTGATTATAGTTATAACAGCAGGTAGTCGAAAGAACTTCCTATCCTTTTCCCTATCAGATCGGTTAGTACATCCGACTACCCTACAATAATTCACCATTTTCGTCTGAAATTGTTGGAGCTCTCTCTAAACTGAACCTTCCACGCCGTAACCACGTCGCACTATGGTCGCACCAATGACGCCAACATGGCCGCCGTTTGTTTTGATGACGTCACGTGCAAGGGGTCTATACCGGAACGTACCCTAGTACTATCTAATATGCCGGCCCGTACCTCGCCTACTCCACTAACAGGTCTAGGGAGTCGCCTACGTCTACTCCCTAACCCTAACCCTAACCATATCAGATAGTTAATTACCAGGGTACGTTCCGGTATACCGGACCGTACCCATGGTACGTTCCGGCAGTACCCTGGGGGACATAGACCCTCTCAGCAGTAGTAGTAGTGCCGGAACGTACCCGGGGTACAGTCCGGTATACCGGAACGTACCCTAGTACTATCTAATATGCCGGCCCGTACCTCGCCTACTCCACTAACGAGTCTAGGGAGTTGCCTACGTCTACTCCCTAACCCTAACCCTAACCATATCAGAGAGTTAATTACCAGGGTACGTTCCGGTATACCGGACCGTACCCATGGTACGTTCCGGCAGTACCCTGGGGGACATAGACCCTATGAGTAGTAGTAGTAGTACTATAGCCCGTGTACATTTGCCGCAGGCAATATATGCTGTATCCTGAAGTTGGTGGGAATAATTCGTAAATGGAAAAAATTCTGCATTCATTAATAATTATTAAAACATGGATTAATGTAGTGTGAAGTAGTGAAATCTGCAAATTTGTAAATTTGATGTCTTTTTAATCAACTGATCTGTAAATTTGACTCTTTTTAAACAACTGCGAACATTTTCATCATCCATATAATATATCAGTTATGCGAGGATATATTTACAAGTAAACAATGTCATGGATATATTTTTTATTATGTTACATGTATTTTTTTCAGGAAGGAAACATTGATGCTGGCATCGCTGAAAGTCTTACTGCTTTGTAGATAAGTGGTCCGTTAATGTCAATTACTTGCTATGATTTGGCCACCTGTTGCCATATACAGTGCGTTCTCCATGATTGTCATGTAAGTACCTGATTCGTTTTTGTGTATGTCATAGAATTGCTTGACTGACTGAGCAGCTGTTACATCACACTGACAAATTAAGAAATTGTTGTTGTTCAAGACTACTATATAAATGTCAGTAAACCTGTGCAAGAAATTATTGGATGTGCCATCATGACATGAAATCGTGGCTTTAAATATCTATTCATCTATCTATCTATCTATCAGTTTGTCTGTCTGTCTGTCTGTCTGTCTGTCTGTCCGTCTGTCCATCTGTCTGTCTGTATGTCTGTCTGTCTGTCTGTCTGTCTGTCTGTCTGTCTTTCTGTCTGTCTGCAGATATAATATATATATATATATTATATCTGCAATATATATATATATATATATATGCAATATATATATATATATATATAAATTATTTGTATTTATTTATTTACAGTTTTACAGGTTTAAAAATTGTATCCAGCACTGTATTTACTCCTTGCTTTTATTTGTTTTAGTGTACCACCATGAAGCTGGGTCTACGCAGTGATATTTTAATGACATTTCAGGCAATTATTTTAAACGTTATAACACTTCATGTTTGCTTGGTGGAAGTGAAGTTAATTTCTTATGGTAGGGGTAAACACACAAGCGACCACAATGCTAAAACAAATCCATTCAGATGGGCAGTGCATGTAGCATTCAAAAGTGATAATGAATGGAGATATACCACAAGCAATTATCATGCTTCAAATCTTGCCAAAGAGATAGGACTTTCTAATATTGGACAAATTGGTGAGCTGAAAAATCATTATTTGTTTGAGTGGAGTCTTTCAACAAAAGTGCATTCAAACTCTTCCGTGATCAACCCTGTGATAAAACAGTACAGGATGTGCATCCAAGCTCAGTTTGTGAAAAGGCCAGTGCTACATAACTGTGATAGGACATTTATGAGAATTGTCATAGAGTTTGAAAAGGCCTACCATGAAAATGCTCACATCATCTGGTTTGAGAGACAAGTTCCACACGTGAGACAGAAGAGGACCATCACATTTGAGGACCCAATGTATCCTTTCCAGTGGCATTTGGTATGTAATACAATAAATTGGCATTCATTGGATACATTATTCTTGTCAGATGTACATACATGTTTGCCTCACGTAATGTCGCAAGTATACTTCTTAGTATTTTATCAAACAAATATTACACGTTGTTACTTACGTCAAGCAATGACATGTTGTGTTGTAGAATAATGAGAGGTTGCTTCACATGGACATCAATGTAACTGGAGTCTGGGAGCTTGGAATTACTGGAAGTGGAATCACAGTTGCAGTGGTAGATGATGGTGAGAATTCATGTTTCTGGGTAGATGGTATCGCCGTACATAGCGGTACTAGAAATAAAACAAAGTGAGGTGGAAAATTCTTTGCAGTGTTGTCTGGATATTCCTGAATGTGCAATTCTGCAATAATACATGTGCTCTTTTATTAGCTGTCTAAAATGTGCATATAGCCATTTAAATTTTCGTGAATAACAACCTAATTTAATCCAGTATCAGTAAAGTTATATTTTACTGATTAATAATTGTAATAAATAATTTTAATTATGTGGTAAAACGTGGTAGATATGATATTTTAAGCTCATAGTTAACGCCCTGTATTCTATGTTTAAATAAGTAATCAGGTGTGAATGGTCTTGTTTTTCATTAGTTAGCATATTGAAATCCTGTTTAATTAAAGGTCGTTTCTATGTACCTAATTCATGAAATACTGGTGTTGATATTGATGAAGCATGTGTGAGCTGCATTTGTTTGTTCTGCATTTGTGCGTTTGAACTGTTCATTTGTGTGTTTCAGGTGTGGAGTGGACAAATCCTGATATTAAAGATAACTATAACCAAGAAGCCAGCTGGGATCTAAATGATGATGATGCTGATGCTATGCCTAATTTAATTTATGGTATGTGAAAATTTTCTTTAAAATTAGATTTTGTGTGAGATGTACTGTTGTGTACATTTGTTTTCTGTTTAAAATCTTCTGATCTTATAATTTTTGTTGTTGACTATAACATATTGATCCACAATTGAACTGTTAATATATAGATTGGTATTAAAGTACATATATGGTTTATCTTTATATTAAACTTTGATGTGGTATAGTAAATAGTGTTGAAAAATACTGTTATTACATAAAATGTGTGCTGCTTTTGATTGTGGAGTATTCTTGCATTGTTTCTACATCTTAATTTTATACCAACTATTACATACATGCATGCAGTCACACACACATGCACACATGCGCACACACATGATTTGTGTATTAGTTTATGGTTCTTGTAAAAAATATTTCAGAAAAGAACCAGCATGGAACAAGGTGTGCTGGTGAAATAGCTGCAGTGCCAAATGGATTTTGTGCCGTTGGAGTTGCATATGGTGCTAAAGTTTCAGGTCTGATTAAAATTTACTGCGGTGGTTATAGTAGTATGTGTAATCATGCATATACTGCCATATGTTAGCATTCTTGGCTAAGTTACTACAGGAAAATTCTCTCTTATGCCCATTGATGGGTAGGTAATCCAAGTACTAATTGCATGCAAATTATGTATTCTTAGCAGTTTGGTGACAATAAATTAACATCTCATTCTTTGCAATATTTCAGGTATCAAGGTCCTAGATGGACCACTAACTGACAGTCTAGAAGCAGCAGCATTTAATAAAAATATGGATTTGAATGACATATATAGTTGCAGGTGCACACATTTTTCTATTCCTAATGTACATACATATATGCATTTTTTTATTCAATAACACATTATTATAATAGCGATTTAGTAATTTAGTATGGTAATAATTTTAGTATTTTTTATAACTTCAGTTTTAATTATAAAATTTATCTGTAAAATTCAAGTGGAGATTATAGTCGCGTTCACACGGTCATGGCTTGGCTCGAGCCAAATGGGCTAGATTTGGCTCGGGCCGGTTTGAGTCGGAGCGTTCACACGTACGCAAGTGAATACTATCTGTCAAATTCAAATTCAAATTCAAATAAATTTTATTGCACAAATATCTCACAGATACTTTGGCAGTATTTCGCGAGATGGCGTTGTGTACGATTCAGAATGTTTACTTTCATTCCGAGTTCAATTATCAATCTTGAATTTTTATATACTGTTTTGGACTTTATTTCGTCTAAGTACACGTTCGACACTCGCAGCATCTACCACTCAACCGATTCTACCGCTCTACCGCTCGCCGAAAGCTGGTGCTAAAATTTGGCTTGGGCCTGGTCCGACGTTTTTGATGGGACCAAATCTGGCACGGGCCTAATTAGGCTCGGGCCAAAAACGTCCGTGTGAACGCTCGGGCTCAAGCCAAATCTGGCGCGGGCCTAATTAGGCTCGGGCCAAAAACGTTCATGTGAACGCGCCTTATACTTGCATTATCAAATGCTTATATTTTAGATGACTGACATATTTGCTAATTATTTCTTTTATTCCCACTATATGGCAAAAGAAGACCTGTTGTGCAATCAGTTAGACACTTGAAAAGTGTTTCTTTTACTTTAATATGAGAAAAAGATTTTGTTAGCAATGTGATGTGTTCTAATACATATTTCCACTATTTCACTGCAGTTGGGGTCCAGAAGACGATGGGGTGACAGTCGATGGGCCACACTACTTGGCTTCCAAAGCCCTTATCCATGGAATTGAGATGGGCCGTCGTGGTTATGGGAGCATCTTTGTAGTGGCAAGTGGAAATGGAGGTGTTAATACGGACAACTGCAACTATGACGGCTATGCAAACTCACCATATACTGTCACAATAGGTATGATTGCTGTCCGTATATTTCTGGTAACTTGAGTTTGCACAAATATTTCTTTTAATTTTATTAAAATTAATTATTCTCTGTGCTATAGGTGCGGTAGATGAGCATGGTAACATGCCATACTATGCGGAAGAATGTGCCTCCATGCTGGCAGTAACGTTTAGCAGTGGGCAGGGCGACTCCAGACCAATTGTGAGTGACCGTGTTTACCAATTCTTTAATAAATCATTTAACATTTTCTGCCCTATTGCTCATATAAGAAATAGTAATTTAGTAGGAAAATGTTAAAAACAAGTAGAATTGATTATTCATCAATAGAATTTTGGTGATTCCTTTCTAGCATTGTACATAAATATATGTATATGTATGTATACATGCATTACATGCATATGTCATGCCACTAGATATTTAGACATATAAACTTAATACAAATAAAGACATGTAAGTCAGACAGCAACAGTATGTACTTTCAGCATGCGCAAAGTTGTGTGTATAGCTCTGCAATTAAAATCACGCTGATTCAGTATGTGGATGTATGTCAGGTATCTGTGATAACTATTGTTAGGTAACAACTGATTGGACTGCACATGGAGCAACAGGCTGTACAGACCATCACTCTGGAACTTCAGCTGCCGCACCTATTGCTGCAGGCATGATTGCCCTCATGTTACAAGCTAATCCTTGTCTAACATGGAGAGATGTTCAGTATTTGATAATCATGACAGCCAAAAAGGTATGTATAGTCAGTGAGGTGAGAAGAGGTAGATATTCATATAGCATGGCTATTCCTATTTTCTGGTGCCATATCCATGTGGCTACTTGATTACAGGGAAAAAATTAAAATCTATTTTTCGGGGGCTACTTTTCAAGCTCGCGTGCATGAAAATAGCACTCTAAAATTTGGTTTGCATTGAACTCTATGCAAATTTACGGGGGCTCTTTTTAGCATTTCCGGGGCTCTTTTTGACATTTCGGGGGCTAAATCGCCCCGAGCCCCCGTGATTAGCATGCGTAACAGTAATCTAGAATATTTTATAGTTAAATTACAGATGGATACTTTTGTTTAATAGCATACTAGGGCATGCAACTTGTCTAGTTAATTGTGCAGAGACAATGTACTAGTCAATATAACTCTGTTTGTTCACCTTCTTATTTAAAAAGGCATCGAATATAAAACAACAATATATTGTTCATGCTGGTGTTGCAAATTCACCTGACTTCAAGACCATTATGGCCATTTTGGGTGACACACATGATCACTTAGATAAATATAAAAGCAAATAAACCCTGGTTATTTTGGATCAGAAAGGGCAGAAAGGAACTGTTTATTGAAACAGCTCAGTATAACCAATTTCAATAAAACAGAGATCATAATAATGCTCAAGCTGAATAAACAGGTAATTGTAGTAATAACAAGAACTTATTGATTTTGATTGAATATGATGTTATATATTTACAATACTCAATATTGCTTTATGGTGTTACTAGATATTCCAACTATTGGAACAGGCAGTGTGTAATGTTCGTAATAGAACATGCAGTAATGAAATATATCTACTGAAAATGTAGGTGAGCTCCATATGCAGATTGGTAAGTATGCAGAATAATTAACCAGAAGTCAAATCAAGCATACTTGGATTGCTTCGTGTAATTAATTAATTAATTAAGTCATATATTAATCCTCAGATAGATGTTGACCATGCAGCCTGGTACACTAATCAAGCAGGTCTTCATCATAGTCACAAACATGGGTTTGGTGCAATGGACGCATGGAGACTAATAAATTCTGCAAAGGTAGGTGTAATGGAAGATCTGATAAGGAGCCAACAGTGACTTTATTGTTCTTAATCACAAAAGTATTTAATCTAATGGAGTCTCTTGCGTTAGTAAGCACCTGTACTTTCCATGTTATTATAGTATGGTTCAAGGCTTATGTTCCAGTGTAAGTAGATAGTGAAAACATTAACATAGAAGCCAATGAGTATATATTTTTATATAAGAAATATATCACAAACTAGATTACAAGTGCTTATCAGGTAATGATAATTTGTAGGTGTGGAAGAATGTACCTTGGATGACAGTATTTACTGGAGATGTTCTAAATGTAAATGAGCCAATCGCAAAGTCTCCTTCCAGGCTCATAGTTAACTATACAGGTGTGTATTTGAATTGATTTATGTTCGAGATGTACTCTGTTTATAGCCAATGATAAATGTTACTATATTTTGTTTGTGCTTTCATCAAAAACTAATAAATGACTGTTTACTAACAATATCAAATATGGAATATTTAATAATTATCACACAGGACCGTTAATAAATATACGTCATCAGAGAGTAAATATCTAACAATTAAACTAACTAAATTTGATGCAGTTGCCAAAGTAAAGTAATATAAATACTGCAATAAAAATAGTGATAACCAATCTTTGAGGGAACTGGAACTGGATGTCAGTTAAATCCTATATATTTCATATGTTCTATATAAAAACATGTGTAGTTTATGACATAGTAATATTAAATAATTATCTATGGGTTTTGCTTTTAGTGACACCACAGACGCTAGAAGGATATGCATTGCTTATGCTTGAGCATGTGCAGGTTAGAGTCACACTGTCACATCCCAAAAGAGGTGAATTAGATGTACAGCTCATTTGTCCAAGTGGAACAATCTCTGTGATAGGGCCACCTCGGTCCAAAGACGTGTAAGGCACAAGCAGTGAACATTTATTTACTTGCTATTGATGTGTTTAGAATGTTCAATATATTATAAGCATTGCAAAAAGTTAAGAGTAGTTGTTGATATGAGATAAGTGCCATGAAAAGTATTGTACTGCAAACACTGTACTTGTAAAACCACTGGTGCATGTGTAATATTTTAGAAATTGGTGCAGCATTTCAAAGATTCTTGTCAGACAAAAAAATAGTACTAATGGTGTATCATTATGGAAATGTTATCGTAGCAACTGGCATTTTCAGTATAAATAAATATTCGTCTCACTTCATGTCATAATACAGTATCATGCTTTCTGCAACAGATCTGATAAAGGTTTATCTAGCTGGCCATTTTCAACAGCACGTTGCTGGGGAGAAAATCCAGCTGGGACATGGAAGCTTGTTATCGTAGATATCAGTAAGTCCATTATTTTTCATTTCCCTAATTTGGGTTTCGTAGCCTCACGAATTCTCGATCCCTCAATCGTATGCTATTACATTAATTGAGCGTTTCATCTTATATCAGCATTTCTATGATGATTGCTTTACGTTTTTGATCACGTAAATACTTAGACGCTATTAAATACTTAGCTATTATTCACTTCTACATTTGCATCAGTAATTATTATAATGCTTATAAATACATCGTATCCTTAATTTTTGTGTTAAAGGCATAATAGGTCCATTGATTATGCAATGTTGACGAATGCTAGAGTAACTGGCACCTTGTGTAGTTAAAGGAATAATATGGCCATTGATTATGCAATGTTGACGAATGCTAGAGTAACTGGCACCTTGTGTAGTTAATAAGTACATTAACCTATAGCCAAAAGCGTATTAGTTTGTCCAATATCACTGCTGGTTACTAAGAAATGTCTAATTGAAATCCGCAGTCCAAGAAATGTTTACAGTTTACAGTTTCACTTTCAAACTGCTGCCGGCGAAGCGGGAGTGATACAGATTTATAGTGCACCGGACATTTTCGCACGCATGCTCGGCCGTACCTAATGCTAGCGATAGTACAGTACCGTAACTGTACGTAACAGTAGCTATGATTGTAATGAACGTAGAATCCAGGTACGAATCACGGACGCTGGTGATAATGAACTAGGCTGTGTTTGGGGGTCAACACTCAGGGGGGATCGTGACTAACCACAGCCACAGACTAAACATGGAAAGCAGACGGCACTACGCGTATTTACGTATATTGGTCAAACGAATACACCTGTGCCCGAAATTGAGGACATGTGGGTACCTGTTCATTAGCACCCATGGTTATTTACTTGTTCCTCAATACCAAGAATACACCCAGAGATACATTCCACGAGCTCATTAGTCGTTATAAGCATCCCGGGACAAACAATTCTCTGCTCAACACCCGTAGCAACATGTGACGTCATCTAACCGTTTGGAGGCTATTTTGCTTGGCAAACAATTTAGCGTTAGTGCCAGATTACCAGATTTACGGATTTCAATTAGACATTTCTTAGTAATTAGCAGTGATATTGGACAAACTAATACGCGTTTGGTTATAAGGTAATGTACTTATTAACTACACAAGGTGCCTGTTACTCTAGCATTCGTTAACATTGCATAATCAATGGCCCTATTATGCCTTTAATTAACAGATATAATGCACGTAATTGGGTTCATTTGACAGTATTAACACTATGTAGTGACATTATTTTAGATGGAAAAGAGGTCACACTAGGAAAACTTGTATCATGGCAAGTCATTTTATATGGGACACCTATTACTGCGACACTATTCCAGGAGAGGATGAGGTAAGTTCTCTCTTAATTGACACTAACTTCATCGATTAATGCACCAACACCAGATAAAAATTTTTTTTTAAATAGTCCTGCCATCTGTTTAACATTTGGCAAATGTGTGTTATTGGCGCGTAACTCATCAAACCCGTACATGAAGGATTCAGTTGTTTAGAATGGTAACTGAATAGCATGCTTGTGTGCTGTGTAATGGAACGCGACTCCAAATGTAACCAATTGGCTGTTATCCCTACTGCTATGTGTTGGCTGTAACAAAACATGCCAATATTTAGATAACAAAGGATGCGACCAGAGATGATTGTACTAAATATCATGACAAAACGAAATCGTGTCTTAGTTAAGGCTCCTGTCGAACTCATGTGACACATGCATAAAGCAGTACCTGTTCGCACCAGTATTGTAACGATAATTAATTTGTCAACTTCCTTGAAACTAAACTGTCGACTGATTTTATTGCAGCAGATATTATGGGTGACATAGTCTACTTCCTTGGTGTTCGTAATGTCACAGGTGCCATTAAATTGATCAAACAACTTAAGTAAGAGAACAGAGACCAAGATAGCTACAATGTTGTTATTTAACCATGAACTGATGCTAGGGGCACACGAGCGTATTTTATCGCCCGATCGCGGCGATTAAAATCGCCAGCGAATTTAATCGCCCAGATTCAGCGGAAAGGGCACGTACCTGCGAAATTTAATCGCCCCGATTTAACATCACATGGCATATCAACACACACGTGCCGATTGGTTTTAGCAAAATCGAGTCGGGCGACAAATTAGCGCCGCGACACGGGCACACGACCACAGCGAATTTGCCAGCGTAACATATCGCCCGCAAAATATCTAACATTTTGGATACGGGCGATTCGTTGCGGCCATCCGCGATTAAAATCTGGGCGTCGACCGTGAAACGGGCACGACGGTCTGTCACCCGCGAATTTTGTCGGATGCGCATTTTAAAATCGCGGGCGATCCGGGCGAGTGAAAAAGTCGCTCGGCTGTGCCCCTACTTTATGGATTTCGATGTTCGCTCATCAAATGGTACCTGTGATTACAGTGGTATATATTATATAGGATATATATATAGTATATTATAGTATAGATGAAGAGCTTATCAGCAAAATTGCCTATGTCCATTTTTTTCAAAAATGAGTTTAAACCACCAATGTATAATATGTGAACATAGGTACCATGCAGAGTACTTTTTTCCCAAAATGGACATAGGCAGATTTGCAAATAAGCTCTTCATATATATACATATATATATATATATAATGCTCGGCACTGCGTTTGACTGCTTTGGCTGTACCGTGTTGCAGAAAAATTTAATATTAGCATCACGATCTACCTATCGGCCAAATAAAACAACTGCAATCTCCATTTTTAATAAACAGTAAAGTCATCTTTTTTGACGTCCAGGTTTAGGTGAATAATATTTTCACTAAAAATATTACTGCTTAAGCTCATTTAGCAAATATAAGTATGCACAGTTACTATATACCCACTGTTATTCAGTATAGACGTTTGAATGCGAGAGATATTGTAAACATTCGGTTGATATGCATGCAAACTTGATCATTTTAATTAATTTATATATGGGGTTAAAAAACGCTCTGCATTATGATGATTAAATGGCTATGAATCCCCCGCGCTAATAGTCGTAACTTAGGTTCAGCATGTAATCATATTAATATTGCAAGCTATGGTTTAATTCTATCACAATGAGACTATTTAAATGGCTTTTTTTTTAGCAACCGAACGAAATGGTCTGTCGGCAAACATTTTAAAATGATAGTCAACAAGTGCAGCATGTGAATTTTCGCAGTTCTTAAAAAGTAGCTTGTGTTATCATAACACAAGCTACTTTTTAAGAACTGCAAAAATTAATAAAAAATAACTTATGTAACTTGATTTGTTTGACAGGTGTGAACTTTATTTCCGGAATTTAAGTTTTAGCACACGATGCTTCTCTCCTACTCGTTGTGAAATACCATAAATGTACATCATATTTCTTTTGTTAAACGATCAGAATTTCCCCCAACAAATGTAAAAAAAAAAGCAGTAGAAATATCATACTCTTTTGGGAACAGTAACGGCAGAGGAAATTACATAAACTGAGTGTGGCTGTTTTTTGTTGCTTTAGCGAGCACCTGTTCAAGCATGGAACATCTACTTCGTTCTATGTATACAGTTATGGGAAGTGTTGATATGATGAGGCTTAAACAGCTGCTACCTGTAACATCCCAATGCAGTAGCTAATGGAGTATTGAACAGGCGCGCGCGCACGCACACGTACACTCGCGAACGCACGTACGCGTACCCACCCTCTCCCCCGTAACACGCCTACATGCATGCGTTCCCGTTCCATTCTCAAACTCGCACGCGCACGCACGCACGCGCGCACGCACGCGCGCACGCACGCACACACGCACACACGCGCACAAACTCGTGTATCAGTTCATATAGAAATATTCTTGCAAGTTGAATATGCAATGCATGCAAAAACTTGTCAGTGAAAAAGGAAATTTGTGTGTTGGATTGTGTGGCGTAGCTTAAAAACGACCGATATAGCTGAAGACATCTTTCAACAACTATTGTGCTAGGACTGCATCTGTAGTATTAAAATATTCATCATAGCGACAGTTAAACAACCTAGAACGTTTCAGTAAACGGAATTATACATACGCGCGCACACACAGACACGCACGCACACGCACACGCACACGCACGTACACGCACACGCACACGCACACGAACACACACTCGCGCACACACGCACACAGACACACACACGCACGCACGCACGCACGCACGCACGCACACACGCACACGCACACGCACAGGCACACGAACACGAACGCACGCACACACGCACAAACACACACACACACACACACACACACGCACGTGCGCGCGCGCGCGCACACACGCACCCACCCACGCAGACGCAGACGCACACACAGTAGATGAATTTAAGCTACTTCTTCACCTTCTATATTTACGTGACTTTAAATAATTCTACGGACACTATAGTCTGTATGTGAGGCAAGAAGGTAAAGGTAAGGCTGTCTAAGGGTAAGACACAATAGCTCTGATGGTCAAGCTACTAGAACCTAACATTTTATATACAGCCAACCCTGTGTTGGTATATCGTATATATTATGTTGAGTTGTATATTGCAGTGGAAATGTGCACCAGCGTGTGTTATTCGAAGATATAATAATATAAAATAACACAACTTTTTTAATTCTCCAAAGCGCTCCAAGTGTGCGTGTATTTGCGTACTATGCTACCCATCTTAAAAATCTTTGACCGGTCTAAAGGTAACGCTCTAAATTTTATTCTCTAAATGTAACAGCCGAAGCGAAATACGACACGCACTGCAAAAATAATGTGACGCCATGGCTTAACTTGCAAATACGAAATGAAACCGTGAAACCTATTTCACACGGGGAGCTTTAAAAGCATTTTAACAGTGTCACGTAATTGTCGCAGCATAACCAGTGGACATGAGGCCTATTCCAAAGCGAGGATGTTTGCTATTCTGTCAACGGCTGGTCAGTGTGTGTTAGCAGTAGTCGCTGTTAGCTTTTACAGCGAGTTAGAACTCGTATAAAAGCCGAGCAGACTGTAGCAGAGCTACTCATTATTATATATGCAACGCTTCACGTACGTTTGCAGTTTTATTTGTTGTCTCAACTAGTTCATTACCGATTTTAGCAAACGCACACACGCGCGCACGCACGCATGCACGCACATACGCACGCACGCACTCATACACGCGCGTACGCGCGCACGCACGCATTCACGCACATACGCACGCACGCACTCATACACGCGCGTACGCACGCACGCACTAATGCACGCACATACGCACGCACGCACTCATACACGCGCGTACGCACGCACGCACTCATGCACGCACGTACGCAGGTACGCACTCAAACACGCACGTACGCACGCTCGCACTCATACACGCACGTACGCAGGCACGCACTCATACACGCACGTACGCACGTACGCACGTACGCACTCATGCACGCACGTACGCACGCACGCACTCATACACGCACGTGCGCAGGCACGCACTCATACACGCACACACGCGCGCACGCACTCATGCACGCACGTACGCAGGCACGCACTCATATACGCACGTACGCAGGCACGCACTCATACACGCACGTGCGCAGGCACGCACTCATACACGCACGTACGCACTCATGCACGCACGTACGCACGCACGCACTCATACACGCACGTACGCACGTACGCACTCATACCCTCACGTACGCACGTACGCACGTACGTACGTACGCACTCATACACGCACGTACGCAGGCACGCACTCATACACGCACGTACGCAGGCACGCACTCATACACGCACGTACGCACGCACGTGCATAAACGTGACTTAATTGACAGCCGTATACAGTAAGTTACATTAGGCGAGGCGTTGATTAAAAGCAATATATTGATTCCTTCCATTGCAGTGCTTAAATTAGGTTACCCGGCGGATATAGGAGTATCCTGAACGAGAGCAGGCAGTAGGAAATCAGTGACACATCGGTAATAAAACTAATTTCCAAATATTGATAAGATTATCATCATTACTATTATATATATATATATATATATATATATTGTACCTGCATTGGTTGTTAAATAGTGCGCTCGTTCTTCATACACGCGCGCGCGCTCACACGCATCCCCCCATCACACGCACACGCGCACGCACACGCACACATACACACACGCACGCACACACACGCACACACACGCGCGCGCGCGCACGCACGCACGCACACACACACACACTCAGGAATTTACACGCGCACGCAAGCAAGCAAGCCGGCAGGCACGCACGCACAGTCACACCAACGCAGACGTCCGCACATTCACATCCCTAAACATACACGCACGCACGCTCACACGCCAATGCACTCATTCACGCACACGCGCTTGCACGCAAGTAGGTGCGCACGCTCAT